CGACGCAGAACGCCCCGGGAGGGACGACGGGAGGGAGGAGGAGGAGGAGGAGGACGCCGCAGGTAGGCGGGCGGGAAGGCCTCTTCGCCCCGTCCCTCGAGTCGTCTGCCAAGCGGGGGAGACTGTGATGAAAGGATTAAATATTTGGTTACAGAAATGGCAGGAGGGGGGACACAAGGGGCTACAGCCCGTCTGAACTCCCGCGCCTTTACACCTGTGGTGGTTTAACCTCGTCTGGTAACTAAGCCCCCCCAGCCGCTTGCTCCCTCCCTCCACAGAGAGAATTGGAAGAGTAAAAGTGAGAAAACTCGTGGGTTGAGATAAAGACAGTTTAACAGGTAAAGCAAAAGCCGTGCTCACAAGCAAAGCAATCCAAGGGATTAATTCCCTGGCTCCATCATGCGTAACGGTGACTTGGGAAGACAAATGCCATCACTCTGAATGCCCCCCCCCCCCTTCCTTCTTCTTCCCCCAGTTTCTATACTGGGCATGACACCAGATGGTCTGGAATAGCCCTTGGGCCAGTTGGGACCAGCTATCCTGGCTGTGCCCCCTCCCAGTTCCTTGTGCCCCTGGCAGTGCTGAGAGGTCCTTGCCTGGTGTAAGCCCTGCTCAGCAACAACTAAAACATCAGTGGGTTATCAACATTCTTCTCATACCAAATCCAAAACACAGCACTACACCAGCTACTAGGAAGAAAACCAACTCTATCCCAGCCAAAACCAGGACAACACATTACACGAGTCCTTTGATAGCGCCTGCTCGCAACGTCCTGACAGCAGCCTCCTGACAAGCACCAGGATTTCAGAGAAAAAAAGGAAGCCTTGAGAAATGCAGGGCAGTGCTCGTGTCCAGCGGGATGACACCCACCGCAGGCTTGCTCACCAAAGCATACCAGTACCGCCATGTCCCAGCCCAATTACCGACAACTGCTGAAATGTGGCGGAAAGGGCAGGATCTCCTGGCAAAACTAAGACTTGAAACAAGAGGCAAGATAAAAGCTGCACTTCCAATCTGGAATCTCTGCCTTCGTGCAACAGAAGTTACCTAGCTCTTGAAGAGGAGAATTAAAATTTGTTCCAAGTTTGAGATGGCACTACATTTTGTAGCAAGTTTAAAATACAAAGATTATAGACAATGCCAAACGTCATTTGGATAAAGATATCAATTCTATAGAATGCTTTTTTTTTTTCTTAATAAAAGGTTTTGACATATTTAAATTCTTTGAAAGTTGCTCTCTCCCGGACCACATATGGAAAGATTTTTTCCAGTAAGGGAGAAATTACCTAGTTGAGTGTAATAAAGAATAAATGTATTTACTGAGAAAATTCATGTTCAGTTTTACTGAATATTTATATAACTGTACAGATGAAAACTAAAGGCAGCTCTCTACAAATTTCCTAATCTGGATACCTTAAAAACCCTGCAATTTACTGTGATATTTTTTTTCCAGGGTAGGTGCAATGCTTCAGAGTAGGACCTAGAATCTGAGAGAAAGACTTAAGTGCACTACTTATTCTCGACTGAAGAAGGGAGGAGGAAAAGAAGAGTTTCTCCCACAAAGTGCGGATATATGGTATAATTCAGTACACTTTGCCAAAGAGAGATGAAAGTGGAGAAAGTGGGTGGACAGATTTGTTTGCTTTCTGCTCTCTGCATGTAGCACTCAATGATACACAGAACGCAGCTTCTTACAAGTACACAGAGTAGCTAAAGTCCCGAAACTGCAAGCAAATTGTTATCACTGGCTTCATTGCTGTTACACAGAATTTTCAGGAGATGCATAATTAGCACATTACCAGAAAAGTTAAAAAGATTCTCAAATACCTTTGGGCTCAGTGAGTTACTGGATGCACACACACACATAAAATTATACTATGACAAAGTATTTTGACTTAAAAGCACTACTTCATCTCAATATCGAATTCATCCTTATCTCTTCAACGGTTAAGCCTTCTGCCTTTTGTTCTGTTCACTACCTATAAAACAATGACCTCACAGACAGGAAAAACACTTCTCACCTTCTTTTCTTAGCTGCGTATTGTGGTTTGCATTGCTTTGTAAATGTGTCAGTTGAAATTTGTTCTGCAGGTTCGTAAGCTTTTTGTGATCCCTCCCCACCCCAGCCTTCTATCAGCATTTCACAAAATAGGACACTTGGCTGAACACGGAGTGCGACAGTGTGATTGGAATTTTTCTTGCCTAACAGATTCAATGCATGTAAGAGGCTGTGATTTAAACCCTATGAATAGTTTAGTAGCTGACACCCCAACTTATTACATTTTTCCATAACCAGCTATGCTATAAAACTCCCTATCTTTCTCTACAACATGCCTGTGCAGGACAAGATATGATACTTTCAAGTTTATAGATGGAGGAAGGAAAGGTAGAAATCATGAGTCTTGAATTTAGGGTCAACAAACATCTTAATTTATGAGGCAGAAAAAAGTTCTGCACATGGACAGGCATAACTAGTATTTTGGTGGTTTTTTTTTTTTCCATAATTGAGGGCAGCACTGCTGTGAAATGAAATTGCTGGAAAAGAATTGTAGAAGCTGGCAAAAAAAAAAAAAAAAAAAAAAAAAAGAATACATTAAATATCTGTCTGTCTGACTGGTCCCATAGTTATTGCCACTGCAGCACTAAAACTAAAGTGCAGATCTTCAAAACTGGGTTGCTGCTCACAAGCACATATTTTCCCACAACAAAAGAGTGAGTAAATGAATGGGACATACAGTTCAAACCAGGTTGCAGTGACCTTTCCAACCCAAGGTGGGGGAGGAAAAGTGGGAGATTATGGAAATTTTCATTGCGCAAAAGTGCAAACTGCTATGACAATGAACCACAGCCAGATACGTGATCAACAAAATCTTTTCCAAATGTCTCTACTATGCCTCAGTCGTGCTTTTAAAATAATTCTTACTGTATTGAATGATTCCGTTCAGCTCTGTTTATGAAGGTTTTCTCGCACAACGTGTCCAGACATCTCTCCAAGGTGGTGTTGGCAGACATAACTCTGCAGAGGGTGTAGCTGTTACAGATTGAGTGCTTGGCAGAAAAGGTAGAAATTAACATTCCTTTAGTAGAGAATTACAAATTGCTTCAAAATAAACAAAACTATCATCGCATGTTACTTAACGGAAAGATCTAATTATCAACTCTCCTGTCAGGCTGTGAGAAAGGAAAACAAAATACTCTTTGAGATCATATTATGCATTTTCTCTGTAGGGTATATCCAGTATATATGGAGGCATCTCCCCACGTTCGTATCGCTGCGAGGGAACCGCACTGTTTCTGCTGTGTTTAGGAGGTGCCTCAGCATCCTGCAAGCGTAAGTCTAGCCTTGCTTTTGCAGTGCTTATATTAATTAGATTTCTGTACTCAGCTTCCCAACTTGTCTCTTTCTGCACAGAACTGCCGCCAAAGCCGCCTCTCATTCAGACTTCCTGATTTGTGGCTTTTAACAATTGGTTGGGGCAGTTACCAACATT